AAATTTTTTTTGATAAAATTCCATTATTTGGATCCAACATCACCCTCTATGAGTTTCATCTGGGTCCCGTGCCCGGAAATTGAGATTCAGCATACCGAAAAATCCTGGATACGTCACTGCGGCGACGCCTACTAGACTTTATGATTTTCTGAATCGACAGCGGCGGCTCAGCTATACGGTTTAAAAACTCTATTCGTTAGAAATACTTCGCTAATTATTGCTATATAAAAATTTTTTTAATAGAATCGTTGAATATTATTAAAGTATCATCAATATACCGATCCCTTCATATGAGATAATCATGCAAGTTTAAAATGAATACTTTCTCTTGCAAAAAGATTTATTTAATTCATTAAAAATATCTTGTATTTCATTAATGTAAATCCTATACTGTTTGAAAGAGGAGAAAATTTCCTATTAATTGATAAATAGAATTATTTTTTTAACGCATGTCTAAAGAAGAGATATAGTAATTGACATTTTGTGTTGCAATTGTGAACTATAAAAAAAAGAAAAGTGCAAAATTATTTTTCGAATGTCTCTATTTCTTCTCATGTAGTTCTATGTATGAATTTCAAATAAAGATAAGTCATGTACAGTTCGAAAAGAGAAGAAAATCGATATATTGTACTATTACTTTTGCATTGTTTCTTAGTCAAAATCTATCGAATTGAATTCAACAATAAAATTTGCATAAAATTTAGTTTAGAAAAATTTGAATCATATCTACGAGTATCATATAAATAATATGTGAACTTTCCGAACATCTAGTTTTATCATGTATTAAATAAATAAAAGCTATTGAAAGATTTCCATTTTTTTTTCGCATTAAATCATATGAGAAGATGATATATGTCAAGGAGAATGTTTATGTAAACAATATACAATTTAGACAATCAGAATGATTAACAGTTATTGCTCGAAGCATCATAGAACTCTAACACAACAAAAAAAAATGAAATATTCTGCTACATTATGAAGATTAAATACAAAGTGTTTTTTTTGAAAGGAATGATAACGGAATAAATTTCGTTTAGATTTTTCATTCTTTATGATAAATCTTTCTTCTCACCGAAAGGTTTGTTTATCTTTAGTTTAGTTCATATATAATCTGAATGAAATGAAGAAAAATCTTTGACTTTTTATTATATGAATTGTTTCAAATCTTATCATCATTCGACTATGAACAAATGAGTTTTATTGTGAAGTCTAGGCATGGGTTTTGTCGAACATACTTAAGATTAAGATTTGAATTTACCACAGTACTTTATGCAATGTTGGTGTAAATAATAAACAGTGAGCCACCGACACAGTTCGCTGAGGCACTAATTACATTAGTAAATTCCATATTGATTTGTCATATAGATAAAATATACTATAGATAAGAAAGATTATTTTTTAATTAATTTTACATTAGAAATGTGTGTGTGTTTTTGTTTTGATTGATTTAGTCCAATAGAAGCAAAATTTGTTCGTTGGCAAACAGAACAAATAGTTAATTGGTTATATGGTATTGGTCTTGGTCAATATGCAAGTGAATGTCGAAAATATTTTAAAAATGGTTTACAATTATTAAATGCAACACCACAAGAATTAGAAAAAGTTTTTTGAAAATTTCATTGTTTATTAAAAAAAAACAAAATTTTTTTTTTTCTTCTCCTTTTTAATTTAATTCTAGAAAATGGGTATGCGTAATCCATTACATCGAAAAAAAATTCAATTATATTTAAATAGTCTATGTACTGGACAAACAGAAGTTAATTGTCTTGATACACATTGGGTTTTAAGTATGTTAATACAAAAAAAAAATAAAATAAAATTTATTTATTTCTATTAAGGATGGCTTGATGATATTGGTCTTCCACAATATAAAGAATATTTTGCTGAATCAAAAGTTGATGGTCAAGTTTTAAATAATTTAACTCTTGTAAGAAAAAAAAAAGGATTTAATAATAAATTTTAATTGATTTTTCTTTTAAAGGAAGATATTATTAATTTAAATATAACAAATGAACTTCATCATTTAAGTATAAAACGTTCAATACAAGTATTACGTTTCAATAATTTTAATCCAACTTATTTAAAACGACGACCAAGTCCTGATGATAAAAATGATATAGATGAAATAATGTATTGGTCTAATCATCGATTTATGGAATGGTTAAGATCAATTGATCTATCGGAATATGCACCAAATTTACGTGGATCTGGTGTTTGTGGTGCTCTTATTGTAAGAATAATTATGAATTGTTTTATTTATATGATTCTATTATTTTTCAATGATTAATTCAGAATTTTATTTTCAGAATTAAAACTAAAAGAACTGATTGTATTTCTGTTTAATTGAGTATCTGACAAGGCAAATATTAGCGACCAAATGTATCGTTTCATAGCAGCAAAGTGTCGCAAATTACTTAATAAAAACCAAATTTAAACAGTTAGTTCATATGAGATTATATACCGATCTAAACATTCAAAACAAATATTTAAATCGATCGCGTCTAAATAACAAGACTATGGAAATCGAAAAACATCAAATTTGTCTTACAGTTACATATGAATACTAAGATTTGCCTGAGCATATGATACATCTTACTTTTGCATCATCCTATGTATGATTTATAAGAGTAATAGAGTAACTAGGAAAAAGCTATACTGTGTGGCCTGGCACTTTGATTATGTCTCAGAGATATCCAGGGCGGCGCAGCGGCGGCAGTCTTTTTTTGAAGAAGAAACTTAAAAAATTCATGAATTAAAACAGAATCTCGACGTTAATGTATGACATACCGTAAGACTTAACGAATGTGATCGATTAGCAGTTCTAATTGGCATCAGTTACAGTCTGGAAAATCAAGGCACTTTTTTTTGAAAACCATCGCGACGGTGGTAGATTCTCAACCGCGATGGACATCTTTGTTATATCTGTAAGGAGAGCGAAAACCGACTGTTTTTGTGGGAGAGGCAATGGAGCTCTAGAGCCTACTGGATCCTTTTTCTGTTAGATAGGCTAGAGTACGAAAATTTTTTATGGATTTTCACAGCAAGAGTAATTAGCGGATTTTATTTTACGATGATCTTGAACAGTAATAAACTGTTCGTCATTGGTTAAGATCAGCATTTGAGTCCACCCTAACTTCCGAGAAAGCGTTACTTTGTCGTATTTTTTAAAACTTCTCAGAGTTGACTGATTCCGTGACTACCGATCGTAATTACCCATTATTATTCGTGCTTTCTTTCGATGATTGTAGTTGATCGTATGCTTTATAAGTACTCCTTTTAACCTTTTTGTTTACAAAATTTTTATTCAGTCTGTGCTTCGTTTTTGACTGAATTCGTTTATGAGTTATAAAATTGAGCCATGTAAAAAAAATGCTTAGAGTATTGACCCTGATTTGAATATATGTCTTAAACGAAATTGTTTATATTGTTATTCTATAAAAACAAAAATTATTGAATTTTTAGGTTCTTGAATTACGCTTTAATGTTTCAACTCTAGCAGAAATTTTATCAATACCAACATCAAGAACTTTATTAAGACGACATTTATCAATGCGTTTTCAAGAATTAATTGGTAATGATTTACAAAATCGTAAAAATCAATATGAAAAATCTCCTAATTGTCAACCATTAACATTACATACAAAAATTAAAGTAAAAACAAAAAAATTTTATTCAATAATCAATATAATTCTTATTAATTTGATATTTAGTTTTCACGTGGATTATTTTCTCATCGACGATCACATTCAATTGATATTGATGATCTTATTTGTCCAATTAATGACAATAACATAATTAATGGAATATCACCATGTCTTAAGGTATATCAAATAGAATTTCTTAATTTTGTTTTTATTTATTTTTTTTTCTCAATCGATTATTTGAATTATAAATTTAGCATTATCAACGAAAAGGATCATCAATGGTTGATAATTTAGAAAATGAAGTGGGTCTTTGTTTTCTATTTGTGATTTTAATTTATTTGAAACAAAATTAAAAAGATATGATGATTGATTGCATGAGAATATCTGATTTTGAATTTTATGTATATGAAATATATTAAGAATTTTTTCTTTTTCTTTTTTTTAGTTCGTTCTCGCTCATGATAGTCCAACAACAGTTGTTTAAATAAATCAAAACAAAAAAACGAATTATTATAGATGAATTTTATCTCAGGCTATTCATCTTTTATGTATCATCATCGACAATTGAACATTTTAGCTCTTTTTTTCTTTTTATTTAACTCTATTTACATCACAAAATTTTCTATGTAAAATAATAATAATAAAAATCTGTTTTTGTATCTCTTTTGACATGTATTTGAAAAGCTTTCTACACAATATCAGCACATTCGAGAGATGAAACCGGTACAGGCGGTTTAAGATTCGAGTATTGATCTCTTTGATTGTGCGTAGTACTCAATGAGACTAAGAAAGCTCTAACAAAGCTGATGCTTTGATGATGATCTTATCGTCACCTTCCAAATACATCATGGGCACGAACTCTTCTAGGATCTTCTTACTAAGAAGTCCATCGCGGCAGCGGCAGACTTTTTAAAAGTCATCGCGGCAGCGGCGCGGTAGCGGCAGGTTTTTTAAAAAACCATCGCGGCAGCGGCAGGATTTTTTTTGGAGGACATTGAAAAACTGTATGAATTTAATAGAATTTCAGGATTTACAAATGAAACACCCTGATATTGAATAAATCTGATGGACTAGTACCCATATATCTGGTCAAATATAGATACAGCAGTGAAATTAGAAACACTTTTTTGAAAACCGTCGCGGCAGCGGCACGTTTATTTTATAATTCATCGCGGCAGCGTTTCTTTTATAAGTCATCGCGGTGCGGCAGCGCCGCGGCAACATTTTTTTATAAACCGTCGCGGCGCGGCAGCGGCAGATTTTCAGCCGCGATGGACATCTCTGCTTCTTAGTCTTACTGAGCCCTACTCACAGCTGAAAGTTTCTGGAGAAATTGATGGTTTTCTTCAGAAAGAAAATATACTCAATGATCTTGTTTAAGTTTAAGCTTTTGCTCATAAAAAAAAATGATATTTCTGCATTGCTTGTGGAGCTATATAAAAGAGAACAGTTGATTTTATTACTTTATTTTTTTTCCTACATAAAAACTGAAAGTAGATATCGTGTCATGAAAAATTCGTTCTTAATATTTATAAAAACTGGTCTCGTTTGGTTGGGCATCGGTACAATTAAATCTTTTTTACTAATAACGAAATCATATGTTTTTACGAGAAAATAATGAACTAAGTAATGAAATCTACTTCAATATATCATTATTTAATTATACTATTGTTGTTTCATGAATATTTGCACAGAATCACTCAAATATCCGAGATTCAAATTATAAGCTAGCTCGTAGTGAATTAAACGTCAAATTAAAGATCTCAATGCCAAACTAACAAATTGAAAATATGACACACTTTTGGCATATCTGAACTGAAATATTTAAATTTTGAAGTACTGATCGTCTTTGTATGGTATCCACACTTCAAAATTTCTAAAGACTTGAGCTCATTGAGTTGCATAAGAAAAAGTCACGCTTCAATATCACGAAGGAAATTTTACGAAACTCAAGAGTTTCAGTATATTTTCTCATTTATTGCAAAATGATGGAATCTTGGAGTTTTTTTTTTCGTAAAATTTTCTTATTGAATTGTGAACACTATGCATAGACGACCAGTACTTTAAAATTCGCATAGAATATGTCTGAAGTCCTTGAGTTTCATTGCACGACTTTTCATTGTGAATAAAGTAACTTTACTTGGTAATGTAAACTCTTATAGTTTACTTTACCTGATGAAGTAAAGATCACATTTCACTTAAATTCACTTGCTGCGATTTCTTTGCCTTATGTTCGAACGAACATTTAATATAAACTATTTTTTTCTATTGACATAAATGGAGAACGAAAAGAATGAAGTACGAAATTTCAAAAAAAAACAAATTATTCATCGTAGCAACTGATGTACTGAGCGGCAAAAGTAGTCACTATTTTTATATGTAAATCTTCTGTACGCTTTTGTTAGTAGTGAGTTTACTTTCATCTATTTGCGATTAAAACCTTTTTCATAAGGTAAACGCGTATCAGACTTCCATAAATTAGCTGTTAATTTGGATTAACTCAATTAAGATTCAATATATTGATAGTAATGTTAATTGCGTTGAACCAATATGCAGCAAAATCGGTACAAAGGATGGCTCTTAAAATATCGCCAAATTCCATCCGTCCGAACAATTCAGATTTTTATATTCTCAGTATCCTTTAACATTCATGAGCAGATAAGGCTTGACTAACAATACCTACGTGCGAAGTAGACTCCAAGTTCCAAACACTATGCCACGCATCACATATCCTATCCAACACACGCAACGAAAAATTCTATAGCAAATCTGATCACGCTCTATTGACATTGAGGTCTATACACTTAGGAGCACAGTCAAACTTTTATGCCCATTCTGATATACACCAATGCTCACGCTGATACCTAAGTCCTGAAGATTCTACTTTCAGACAAGTCCACAACAAGGTTCAAACGCGAACCAAGTACAAACAACATTTTCACTTGCACTGCATCTGCAAAATGTTTGATATTTGCTTAGATACGATAAAGTTTTCATGATGTTTGAAATTGCTGTTTTTTTTTGTTCAAGCTAAAAACAACATGATGTCTGTATGAGATGACAGTCAAAATCTGATGTAATAATTGCTTAAAGTGTTACCAAGCTGAACTGTACTTTTTCTTGAGTCAACAATCGATTCCTATGAAGAAACCTTTAGATTTCATAATATAGTTTTATAGGTAAATCCTTTCATATCTCAATAAAAATAGACTTTCAAATGATTGCCTAAATAGTCGTACTTAGTCTAAGAAGACTAAAAAAAAACAGTTTCTCGACGGATCTGTCCTGATTTGGCGTCTTCTCGCATTCAGAAGCCATATAGATCAATTTATAGAGCAATTCGTGACACGTCGAATAAGACGTACAAGACTACCCGTTCTTCCACGTGTCTTGATTTTAGAATCGATACCAGTGAAGCACTCGCCGACATTGTGAGTCCTATAGATCTGCACTCTATTTAACGTATTTTGAATCGCAAAGTCGTACTCAGGTTCAGTCCTATAAGAACATGACATTTTCGCCGTGTAGCACTGCAAATGATCTGTGGAAGTAGAATGATAACTAGAATCAAACAAGTAAAGGGCGTTTCTGTTCGTTCGACTCAACCGATTGCATTAAACCCACGGTTAAGTCAAAAATCACATTTCTACCTTGACGTAGATAAGTTCAAGATTCGACTTAAAGTGTCAGATGAATCAATCCGAGATTAGTCTGCTTCCAAGCCTCTACAGTTGCATAGATATGTTTTATCGATTTCCATTTCTTGCTTGAGAAAAGAAATTTGAGAGAATGTGATTCTTCAGTAGAAAAAAATACATTATAAAGAAAGATAGCCGGTAAATCACGGTCTCGCGTTTGCTTCATTTCTTTATAAATCCGTCGACCTAGCTGATATCTGGCTTGATCGAATCTCTTCACAAATCGATGAAAAATTTACAGCAACATAATGGCCAGTTGGTTAGATCATCAGTTTGAAGAATTTATAAGTTAAAATGGAGTTTTATCCTAATGTGTTGAGTAAATCATGAGAAAAAGATTTTATGAAGTTTAGCACCACAAGGTTATGAATGGAAATCTGATTAGTTTTCGAGATTCATAGTTCTTGAGAGAGAAGTATGCAAAGGTGTAAGATTTTTACATTAAAAGACTAGTCGCCATACTCAAGGAGTATGATAGGTATTGGTAGATTTGAAGAACGCTTGTGTCTTCGTGATTAACATCTATCTCAACAACTGAGGAGTTTGCTACATAGATTCTTCATTGTGTTTATTTTACATTGGAGAACTATGTGTGGTGTCTTTAATAGTTGTCACCCTAGACTGTTAATTGAAATGCTAAAAATTAGTGGTTAAAGCTAATGACTGTCAGTTATAATTAGCCCGCAAAGAAACTTACTGGGTACACGAACGTCTCATTTCTTGTATGTTCTAGATGGTTTTTGTCAAAAGATTGACTTTAATGGGTCATGTTCATGATATGCTTCTTAATGTCACAAACAATAGCAACTCGAATAGATTCTATCATGCTTTTTACGGAATCACTATCCTAAGTGTAATTTGTCTTAGTGTTACTTTTCTCATAAATTTACAAATCAAATTTAATGATTGCACAGTATTTGATCTTCATAATTCGAGCTTAGCAAACAGCCGAAACACTTCTGGTCCGCCATACCTAGCTTATATCATATCTTCAATACCTGAACGCTTTAATTTCACAAAGACAAACCTGAATACTGCCTTCCCGAATTACTTTAATATTAGAAAGAAGCAATCTGTCTCATCCAACGATTCACGAATCAATGTTCGTAGTAACATCCAATTTTCATCACTTTTACTTACATATGTAGACTTGTGGAAGGAGATAGGCGCAAAACCGAATTCTGAGCTAACAGACAATGAATGGATATTTCTGTTCGAAGACGACGTCAATATAGTCCCTATTAAAGCCATAGAGGCATTTTATGAATCGATTTTTGTAAAATGGAATTATACAGATCCACACCACTCGTTAAGAGGTATGTAACAATGTTGTGCATTTGTCTCAGTGTCGATATGATTATTAGCGTTCAGGACTATGTAATCTCATGCTATCATACTAACCATTTCATGTGTCATGTATTAGATTAATCATCTGGGTTTTCAATTGGTGCTTGGCAAGTTGTTGAACCTAGTCCTTAAAGGATATGGCTAGAAAATAAATTTTGAGTGTCTATTGGTGAATAAGAAAACTTTTATACTGGATGTTGCAAAAGTCATCTTTGTGCAAGATTTACACATAACTCCTTTATTTATCAAGTTTAATTTAATATATTTTTTTTGTATTTGAAAAAGAAGAGCAGTAAGTCCTTTTTTCATAAAGATAAAGTTTGTAAACATTCTTTAAAAATAATACTTTTGACTTCAAATCACATACACCTTTTACAATTGTCTTGTAGGCATTTGATTTGAGACAGACTTACACATAGCAGTTCAATAGTGTAAAGTTCAGTGATTGAGGAATTCATGATATTGGTTTAATTTTCACGACTCACCTACCATACGAGATTTCGTTCAGCTAGACGCAGTCCAAGTCGGAGAAATGGATCAGTGGTTTATCTCGTTGAAAAATGCTGATGTTATTCAACTGTTTCTTCTATGAAACCCCACGAGACAAATTTTGAAGCATTACAAAATAATTCCCTTGGATTAATGTTTGATTATGGATAGCAGAGAAGTCGTAAACAGTGAATCAATATCATGGGATTTTTCGATTACTAAACTTTACACCATTAAAATGCTATCTATGATTCCGTCTCAAATCAAATGTCTACAAAACAATCGTGAAAAGGTCTCTATGATTATTAAGGCTCAAATAACCACAGAAATCGATATAATAGAAATAAAACGCTTCAATATTTTTTTAAAGTATTGAAGTCAATAGTATTACTTTCAAAGAATGTTTACGAACTTTGTCGTTACGAAAAAGGACTAACTACTCTTCTCTTTCGAATAACAAAAAAATATTAGATTAAGCTTGGTAATTAAAGGAGTTATGTGCAATTCTTAAGTAAACACGACTTTTCGGACACCCTGCATATCTTGAAAAATACAAATGAGACATATTCTTCCTCAGTTAGTAACCAGAGACCAAATTGAATGGAGTTTCACTGCTTCGGATTTGATTTGGTTCAGCTCTATTCTTTGAAGGAGCGATTCGAGTGAAATCGAACGGAACCGTTATAGTTCTACTCGGTTTCGATCACTGGTCAGTATCTATAATCAGTTTTCACACATTCGTCGATTACTGCTTTGAAGTCCGAAACTATTTAGCTCAAGACTAATTATAATGAAAATATTGAATAAACAAAAAATATTTACCAAAATAAAAGATAAATATGGAATAGCAACAATCATAATGAAAAATGAGGTACTCGTTAGAAAAAGAAAATTCTATTTATCAAATTATTTTTCCGTAATTTGACTGTATAATGTTCAACGAACTTGATTTTATTGATTTCAATGTTGTTGTACAAAAAATGAGAAGTGTCTCAACACTTATTATCAATCGTTTTTCATTCATTTAATTTCATCTACAGCTGAAATCAAATATGCATTCTGAAAAACGTTGAAAATTTCCATAATTCTATCAAAAAAAATAAATAATTGCAAAAAAATATGATTGACTTGTTGCTATGATTTCTAGGAAACTAAACTAGATGCAAATTTACTTTCCTCACAACTGAATAGCCATGTTTCGACTAGTTCAATAAAAAATTTTATGAAAGTTAGTTGAGCAGAACTCGACTTACGGACATTTTTCTTTGTATTATTCAACGGTGCAATGAATGAGCTTTTGACTCATATGCATGCAAAATATCAAGTTGATCTATGTACTGATCAAGATTTTGTTGAGAATGTAATCGTATTTTCATTCTACTGAAAATATTACAACAAGTATTTTTTTGTGAACACCTATGCATTCATTTCAATATAAAATTTTTCTTCATGGCATACCATTCGAAAGAGTTAATTATTCTCTACATGCTGATTGTTATGTATCGTAGCTTCCATCGTATATGAGTGAAAAAATAGTAGCTTGACGACTCGTCTCGGAAAGTTCAGACAAAGAAAGCTGTGCAAGATGGTTCCTATCGCTAACATTTAGCTTATTCAGTGTACTATATGGGCTAAATCAGCGAAAAGAGGACATTTACTTTTTGTATTTGAATGCAATTCTTTATCAGTATAGGTTTTTTGAGTGAATTGTTTTTGCATAGCCTTATGTAAAATTGTCTGCTCTTTCACATGGTTATTAATTAATTAATTAATTAACTAATTAAGAAGTAATTAGTGAATATCTCGATAAACGAATGACGAAAAATCTTGAAACCTTCACGATAGGCTCTGGGGTATGAGCCGCACATACGATAAAATTTTCAACGAGATCGGACTTCAAAAAGTTCCTTCCAACAAATCGACCTTTCAAAGTCTTTCGACAGAGCTGAAACGAAAACGTTTGTCTTAGTATTGTTCTAGGGACTCCTACCATTGACATGAGTCCCTTGGAATCGATTTCGAACTTTTCAGTTCGTTAGCAGAACATTCGATCGGTAGTGAAGTCGCACTCAGTCACGTCGCTAACGCGGAATAAGTTTTATTTTTTGAGAAATCTAGGTATGCTCAAAATAATTTTACATTGCGGTTTGATAGCTTTAGGAGTCGTGTCTAGTATCGCGTATTAAGTTTTCGGCGATTGTGCAACATTTGGAAATTTTTAAAACCCAAAGTATATCAAGTGACAGTTGATGTTCATTTTTGTATCACGTCGCTAACGCTACTTTTTCGTTAATAACTTCTCTGAACAAAACTCTAGAGTGTTGATTTTTTCATGACATCTAGAGTAAATAGAGACTCGTACAGAATGCAAAAATCACACCTAAACCAGCTAATAACTCCAAAATATGCATACTTCAAGTTTGCGATGTCATGTCACTAACGAATGATTTAGCCCATATAGGATTATAAATGTCATACAAAAAAATCATATTACGTGTGTTATTCGATTTTATCTTTCATATTGGAAAATTGTGTCGGTCAACCTTCAAATCTACATCGAGCATACACAGAACTCCATGCTTTATCTCATTTACGCATTGAAGAAGGTATTTAAATTTTCTTGAATAGATGTAAAGTTCTAGAGAATCTCTTTCGCTGCAAAACTCCCACATTTAATATTAAAACTTGTTTTATTTTCTGAAGTTATACTGTTTTTCGTTGCTATAAGTATCAAAAGAAAAAAAGCTAAGCGTAGCACAATCACGAGTAGGGTTCAGACTGCACGAAATAAATGGCAAACTTTTGCATGTCATATTTTAGTTAATCGACTTTAAAATTTGGATTACAAGTCCATCCTAACTTTCATTCGAACGAGATTTATATCATGAAATTTTACTCGCACCTGTTATTAGAACAAAAATGTGAGAGTTTTACAGAGAAAGAGATTCTCTAGAACGTTATATTCATTCAAGAAAATTTACATATCTTCTTCGATGCGTAAATGAAACAAAACAAGAAGTCCTGTGTATACTTGATGCAGATTTGAAGGTTGACCAACACAATTTTCCAATATGGAAGATTTAATCGAATAACACAGGTAATATAGTTTTTTTTTAATGACATTTATAATTATATATGGCATACTGAACAAGCTAAATGTTAGCGATAGGAACCATCTTACACAGGTTTCTTTGTCTGAAATTTCTGAGACAAGTCGTCAAACTACTATTTTTTCACTCATATATGAAGGAAGCTACGATACATAACAATCAGCATATAGAGAATAATTAACTCTTTCGAATGGTATGCCATGAAGAAAAATTTTATATTTAAACGAATGCATAGGTGTTCGCAAAAAAAAACTTGTTGTAATATTTTCAGTAGAATGAAAATACGATTACATTCTCAACAAAACCTTGATCAGTACATCGATCAACTTGATATTTTTCATGAATATTCTGAAGATCATAAACTACGATATGACGATAATCACACTATGCCAGTTCATCTAGCCTGTGAAATATAAACAAAACTAAAATTCTTCTTGATTGTTAGATAATTTTGAAAGTCATTGTATATCATTAATGTAATCGTATTCCAGCTGTATAGTAAAGTTCCGATCATCAATTAGTTGAGTCAAATGTAGCAGTGTTCTAATGAGGCTGAGAGTCCAATAGACAATTCATGAAGAAATTGACTTAATAGATCTAGATGTATTTTTTTCCTACAAGCTTTACCTCTATCTTGAAGTTGATGTTATAAATGAAGTAGTTGTTTGCTGAATAATAGATCATTCCTATACGATGAATGTTATTTTTTTCAATAGGAATTATTGAACAAGGCTTAAAAATGGCAAAAGATGATGGTATTCTGTATCTTGGTACATGTGGACCAATTTATGTAGAAAATGAAACCAACGTTCAATATACTTCTGATGGTTTATTTCCATTCTATCGTGGTATACATTATTGTACGCATGCAATAGCTTACACGAAATGGCGTTCAAGAACAATATGGGGAGCATTCGCCTCATATATGTTCTTGCACAATGAAGTCGGTGTTGATACAATAGCTCGTCAATGGCAGTATCGTTCGAAAACTTTTCCGCGATGTGCCGCTGCGAATATACAATGGCCAATTTTCTCCAATCATTACGGATTTTTCTTCCAAGATAGACGCGCATTTTGGTCAACAATACAGTAATATATTATCTTAATGACACTCAAACAAGGGTGTGGGTGTAAGTCTTCTTCTAGCTCTTCCCTACCCATACCATCCGATTACGATCAAATAGATCATAAGGCAATGAGAATGATCTGATGAAGATATTTAATTTAATCTAATAAAATAACTCAGAAGAAAACAATTCGTGATTCAGTTGATAAACTGTGTAATATTGCTGAAGCTCTCGAAGCAGAACATGTTCTTTTTTTTAATAATATCGCTACTTTAATATGTGCTGAGAGAAAAAGAGAAGACTTTAAGAGAACATCTTTCTTCCTCATCTTTGACTCCGGTGCCCTGGTAAAGTAATAATGAAATAGTTCATTTCCTGTAACAAGATATTGATGTTTCATCGTTAATATGTCTATTGGGAGTCATTATTTCTATCATATATTTCAATAACTATTGCATAGATTTTGTCAATAAATTCATAAAAAAAGTAAATTACAATTAGTTAAGTTTTATTGTTTAAAATAATTCGATGAAAAAATTGACTATATAGTATTTAGAATCTTCTAAAGAAAATAATTTATTATAATAAAAAATAAAAATACAAATGATATAGAATGAGAAATAGCATTTGATTTTCCAAATACTTTTAAATTCCATTGTTGTCTTAAAATTTGTCGTGCCATAAAACATTCTCGTGCTTCCCATTGATCACTACACATCATTAAAATTAATTGTTCTGGATCATCTTTACATTCATATTCAATACTATAATTTCGAACAATCTTTTCTAAAATAATTAAACTTTTTTCACCACATCTTTCACTATAAAAAAAACGAATAATTAATGTTTTTATAATAAATGTATATATTTGTTTAGCTTACATAACTTTTTGATCAGGTGAATGTAAAAGTAAAACATTCATTTTCGTAACTCGATTTGGGCCAGTTGTTCGAAGATTAGGTAATTCATATTTTGCAAAATATGAATTATTACGATATGATGGTTGACAATCAGTTCGACTTCCATTTAATATATAGTATATTTCACCGGTGACTTTTTGAGCAAACTAATATAAAAAAAAAAAAATTTTTTTTATTTTTATTTGTGTTTTTTCATATTTTACTGTTTTCGATGCAAGTCCCCAGAAAGCATCATCTGCCCAAATATTATCTTGACAATTTCTTGGACAACTGACATAATCAAAACCTTCAGTATCATTTTCTTTTCCACACCATGATAAACCATCAGCCATAGCTGCTGCCAATGTATCTTCTAATGTAATATAATGAAGACCACGATTACTATAATCATGAGTTAAAGCATAAGTACCACCCCAAAATATAGCCTTTACAGTCGAAAAATATATAATCATTTATTTATTTATTTATAAGAAAAATAATTCTTACTCGATTAATTACATGTATACCTTCAAGTGCATAATTAAAATAATCTTCATATGTACTCATATTCATATTACAATATGATTTATTACGAGCAGCAGATTCAAATAATTTATAAAGTTTTAAACAATCTTTTACTTCACTAGAAAATAAGAAAAACAAAAAAAAAAACTCAGTGAAAGATTGGAAAGAGAAAGTTTTTATTTTTTGTATTTACGTAGTATTTGTTAGATAAAGACCACGTTTTAAGTATTGATATTCATTACAACGACCAATCATGATTTCTTTCAGACCACATGTTGTTCCATTTGTTTTTATATATGAACCATTACATGGATTTAATTGATTTTGTTTAGGAATTATTTTGCTTTTATTTTTTCTTTTCTTAATAGTTCCAGATGGAGATATAACTGATTGATTATTACGATATCTACTGGCAGAAGTGAAATGTTCATAACGAATAGTCGACGATTGTTGTCCTATAGGTAGCATCGAACTATAAACATTCGTCGTCATTAACACCAGGAAAAGGAAAACTAAAGGAAATTTATGAATAGTAAATGTATTTATTTGTATTTAATTATATTTGATGTACGTACCATATAATCGACAGTAGTAGTACATTAACATATTGCAGCACTAATCTATTTACTATATGAATATAAATGTAAAGAATGAAGTGACAATAAAATCGATGAATTACAAATATAAAAAAAATTTATAATTTTTTTGAGAAGAAAAGTGTTTTACAACTTGTTCTTTTTTAATATATTTGACCTTATTTCAAGGTAGAATACTGATAACTAACAATAAAGAAGAACAAGCACACAGGTTCGTATTTTTTTTTGTCAATGGTGCTGTATATCCGTATGAAGATAATAAAATTATTAATCCTTTATTTGTTGAGTTTCAACAGATATGATAAGCAAGTTGTTAAATCACTTTGACACTTCAAATCTATGCATACAAACTATTTCTCTCCATCTTTATTCTCTTTTAGATTTAAGAGCAATAAAAGCTATGTTATTCTTCATACGATATACAATATTTATTTTTAAACTATTCGAAAAAAATAATTTTACTAGATTATCATCTGAATAACTAACCTGATCGAATATGATAAAAAAAGTTCTACTATGTACTACACAGAGGTTGTTTTCGAGAAATTGGTTAATGGTTCTGGATTGTCTATAAACATAAATGTAATCAGGATTGTCGAGGTACTAAAGAATGTTGTAGTTATTATAGATCAGAGAGAAAAAGAATATGGTACACAAAAAAAAAAAAATACCATTACTAATCCATCAAGCTTTTGAGTCTGTCACAATCAAATATAAACGTTAAATGTTTTATTGATTGTGAGAGAATTGAATACAAAAAAAAAGCTGTTGGCGCAATCCTTTGCGGGATTAAAAATGTGAAACACGATGTAACTGCTGTTTCAAATCTTTTAAAAACTGTTCTTTTCAATATATGTTGAGATATATTTCTTCACCATGGATTACTTTACATTATATAATTCAAACAGGATAATATTTCATATATGCTCTAATCATATGTTAGTTATACATTATCTGATAGTTGCTTAAAGACTTCTATCACAGTCTGTAGCTTGTATAAGGCTGTCTGTCACGTCTGTGATGGGGCGTTGCAAAGAATGTCTGTCACGGTCTGTGATGGAGAAGACGTTGCTACGAATGTCTGTCATGTCTGTAATCGACCGTTGCTAAGGATATCTGTCATGTCTGTGGAGGGGGGACAGTGTGTACAAATTTCTACCCTATATACTTCAACACTCCTTTCAGATCGTGTTTCACAAAAATAACAGAACGTAATGGTAAATATGATGTTAAATTTTTTTTTTTTGCTTATGATAGACTGATTTAACGAGATATAGAGCTTGACGTCAAATTGTAGAAGAGAATATTCTTATTTGAATACAATATTCTCGAGTAAGAATTAACAGAGAGAAATGACTTATTTGTTTGTACAAAAGAAAAAGTGACGAGAAAAGAAAAAAGAATGTTATTTATTATATGTTTATACTTCTGTTCTATTATCAAGGATAATATAAGATAATTGATAACATAATGCTTTTATCTTCTTTTGTTCTCATTCTATAAGAATATATTTCTAAAAGTGAGAATCTGTTTTCAATCAACTTTATGTCACTTGTTAGATCATAATGACATAAAGTGTTTTTTCTTCATAGTTTGTCTTTGATGAATAAGCTCAATTTCAATTTACGAAAAATAATTATAAATTAAGATCGACTGACCTTCTCAAAAGTAGACTAATTGTAAGAAAATTTTTAATCATTGTGATTAGCTCATCGAATTCTAACAAATAATATAAATCTAATTGAAAAAATGAAAACTAATACTTAACGATATTTTCTATTAGTAGTTTATCTATTTTCTTACCAGATTGACTCAAAATAATTAGAATTCTATATTAAATGAATAGTTTTAATATTGAGAAGCACGTAGTTAATTGTGAAATTTATTAATCTTTTCAAACTTAATATACGGCTGTTATTCGATCTTCTATGTACAAAAGTATTAATTTTCCATTTGAGTTTTGTTCCTTAGAACACAAATGATAGAAATCACGCACTTCTCAATACTTATGTAAATTTTTATTATGATAAATTAGATGTGATTTTTGTTAAGCGAACATCAAACATGTCTTAGCATTAATTAATCATATACAAATACTAAGCTCTACAGGACAAATAATTGAGTTGTTTATAGCAAACGTTTATCTAGAAATGTTTCCACTTAGCCTTTCTATCGATTTGTATATATATGAAATCTGTACGAATTATCTATATGATATATTGAAGAGTGAGCAAGTCTATGGATATGACATGAATTGATTTATAAGTTATATGTTACGTTTATTTATCTGCTTGTAATGAAAATTAGATAGTTGTATCGATTATTTTTGTTATAATTGATATGCCATTGAAACAAGCTGATAGACTAATTTTTGCCATTTCTCATTTCATCAGTATTGACGTCATTATATATGACAGACATTTTATATTGTTATATTTATCAAAGTCTAAGAATGTTTTTTATTATTATTGTCTGTTAGACAGTATTCTTATATATCTGTGACATAGAAATGAATTTTATCGTAGCATCTAAATAGAATCTTTACGTATGAGTTTGACATTTTTAGATATGTTGTAATAGTATTAAAAAAAGTTTATATTCTAACTAAATCAAATAATCAATAAATACTTGCAGTTCTTGATAATAATTTTAGTTATGATATTTCATATTTTTGGTTTATTTTTGAAAATCTAAGACTTTTTTATTATATAAAGTATTGTTTTTTAAATACTTTCAACGTATTGCATGAAGAATGAAAGATGTTCAATTTAGAAAGAATTAGTCTTTGGGGAGTTCGAATAATTTTCAGATGATTCTATAAGTTTTTTGTTTTTATTAAAGCAAACTTTAATTCTAATCGTATAAAACTTCTAAAATTATTATTCACATATCGAAATAGATCTGAAAAATTGCAATTATTTAAAGTTCAATATCTTTGTTTATCAAGTATGAATTTGAATTCACATAGATTCTTCTTAATATTATCAAGAACGATATTTATCTAAGTTGAACAATTAACATATTCGTATTTTTATTTTTATGACATGATGATCTTGATAAGTCAATCAAAAATAGTTAACTTTCATAAACGACGTTTATTGTATTTATACATCACATAAAAATATCAAGTATTTTTTTTTTCGTACTTAAGTGCAGAAAGAAGTTTACTTGAAAAAAAGACAGATTAAAGTAGAAGTAAAATATTTTTGCTTTCTATACTTGTATATTGTATACAACTATTATTAAACCATAGAAGACAATGGTGATGGTTTTTTTTCATGATGAGAAAAAATAGATCGCTAAAATAGAAATTCTGAACACTCAGTATGATCATATGATAGTTAGTAAAACATGAATGTATCGCTATATGTAGGAAAATTCTTTTTTTTTCAAATAATTCTATCTATTGATTTCATAGAACACAAAGAACCGGTTGAATAAAATATTTGTCAATTTTTACTACTTCTGGAATTGATAAAATATTTCATATCAGGAGTGTGAGTGTGAGTGTTTAATTCACCTATATCCACACCCGACTTCACCCAACCGAATTCATATGATCTTGCAAGATCAAAATACATCTTGAAATCTGAAAGATGATAGATAAATGACAAGCGATCATAGAATGAGGAAAGAAAATTTGATGCTGTGTCGGGGTTACGTGTCTTTTATTTCAGAAAACATTCAATCTTTCAATGATATACAGATCTAACTTTGATAGTTTTCATCATGTTTGAAAAAAACCATGTAGTAATAAATCGATATATTTGGACAATTGGAGTAGACATATCATTGAGTACTCAATCTGCATGTACATCAAAAAAAGGCTTGAATGCAAATAATTGCTAACATAATCTAACAAAATTGATAGAAGAAAAACTACTTTGAGAGGATAGCTGAAAAATCTTCCTTTCATTCAAAGTCTGTTTATTAAAGAATACAGACGCGATCTTCAGCATACGATAAGCAGAGGTTCAACTTCGAAGGAAAGCTGCATGTGGTCAGATCAACGTCGATTTTATGTACATGATTTAGTTCTTTGATTAGTCCAATATATTGATTGTTGATTACAATCGATTTGTAACTCGACAATGTCATTCACTTCTATATCACCCAGATAGTCGTGTCCAGTCCATTCGTAAGTTGTTGAAGTGGAATGAGAATTTTGAGAGAATTAGTTATATCAGTCTGATGTCTACCCAATATATTTGCCAATTGTTTTCGAGCATCTTCAGCGGCTGGCTTTTCAAATTTTCATAATCGACTTTTGTTCCCACTCATCAATCTGTTTCTTGCGAGGATGAAACTGAGACCGAGCAATGTGTTTATTCATTGTTTGTTTCAGTTGATCATGTTCGAATATGATGTTATTCATTTGTTTGCCAAGAATTTGCCGATGTTCAGCTATATGTCGACTACAAAAATCCTGTGCACACCGATGGCATTGAAAAATGACGTCTGCCGCTTTACCATATGTCGTACAGAGTAATTTGTTTGACTTTGATGCAGATATGTTCGCGTCAGCGTGTGTATGCAAAACGAATATTGGACAGTGTAGAATTAGTGAAAAGACAAGAAGGAATAACCAGAAAATTGGAGTTGATGGAGGTTTGATCGAAGGAAAAACTCATGCCAACACCTACACTCTAGGTGAGAGAAACATAAATCAGAAACTTTCGTCTGACAGTTCTTGGATTTTGAAGATATTTGTGTAAATAGAGGCCACTCTATTATGACTAACTACTCTTGTTCATTGTTATTGGTTACTCTTTTCCTCCTCTCACCTATTTTTGTTTTTCTTTCTGATTCCTAGCGGTGGCTGCTGGTTTTTTCCAGTGATAGTATCTCGTTTTCTCTAATTTTTGTTATAAT